CATTTGACAGTAAATGTCCTGTTTGTGGAAATCAGTTATAATTGAGTTTAGATTTAATATTTAGACTTATTTAGTCTCAATGTTTAAACACGAGGACAGAAAGTGTTAACTAATTCATACAAATATGGTATAACTGACCGACGAATGTGATACTCCTTCCGGCGAAGTCATTCTTCTTGAAGGCCTCCCGGGCCAGGCCTATGTCCGACACTATTACATGCGGTCTGTTCCCCAACCAGAACGTGAATACCGGTCCGTACTGTTTGGCCAGTTGTCTGAACACCTCATCCCAGTGTGACTTAGTTTTGAACACTATTTATAATTTTAAGAATCATAAATCAATTATCAAATATTGTAAATGAATGAATGATTTCTAAAGTATTTCTCACTTACACAGTATATTTCCCACAATAGGCCAGGGAATGGGACCGGGAGGCAATGTTGTAGTTAAATAATAAAACCTTGCCAATTTATACACTACATAACCAATCAATAATGATACGAGTGTTGTGCGAATATCCGATGTTAAAAATGATATTAATTGTGTTAATAAAGACATTTCTAGTGATACAATATTCACATAAATAATGAGTAGAATATATAGAAATTTATTATATTTATCAAAACAATTTATAAGTTTTAAATTGTGAAAATATGACAAATATGGTGTTCACGGAAGTTGTGAATACAAACTGAAATTATTTTATTAGATTTCTAATTTTATATACACTTTAGTTATATCTTCAAGGTCTAAATGAATTATCCTTTATAGTTAATGACAGTTGTAATCACTTTTGATATCCGTTTGTTATAGTGCATTAGGTTACTTTATATTATCACAGCTTTTTAATTTTTATAAAAAAGATTATTTATTTTTATATTAATATTACCGGTAATAATTATAGAAATATATTTTTAAAAATAGATTTTAATAGACTATGTATGAGAAAGTGAGAGCAAAAGTGTATTTATGTGTATCCATGTCAGTTTATTACTTAAGTACATTTCAAACCTGCTTGTACATTTAAATTCTTTATCGATTATATTACATCATACAACACTTTGTATTTTTGAAACACATATTATAATAAAAGTTTAATCACAACATATCATTTTATTGAAATTGTTGGTATGTATTGTTAATATTTTTTAGATAATTTGTATTTTACTTTATTTCTATAAAACTATTTTATAAATATTCAATGAAATTATTTTACATTTTAATTACATATTTAACTTCTTAAAATTAAATTTTAATATTTGGTAATCTCTTAAAATATTTAAAAGTATATAAGTCTTGTGTACTGTATATAGTAAATATGGTTTTAAAAAGTTTTAATAAATTATTATGATATCAAATATAAAAGATTTTATTTCACTTTAATGAATGAATAAAATAATAAATTATTATTATTTCAATACAGTATTATACAAAACATTTAAATGCAATAACAGAATATTATTTTATTTCTTTCTTAAAGATATTTTAAAATCTGGTGGAGATATTGCATCCGTGGTATTAGGATCCGGATCAATACCATTATGACTGTCGAGGACTATATCGTAGTCTTGAGTCGACTGCAGAAATCTGACCAAAACCAGGAAGAGGTCAGCGATGGCTAACTTCTCGCCCAAACAAACACGTCGTCCCACACCGAACGGTATGTACGCCTTTGGACGGGTAGTTATGAACTCTCCCTGTTTATCTAGAAATCTCTCGGGAATGAACTCATTTGCTTTCTCCCAGTCCTTATCATTACGTAATATGACCCCCTGGTAGACCATAACTCCCATGTTTTCGGGTACTGTGTATTCGCCTAAATATAACAAATATCATGATAAATAATAGTTTTAAAAATTATTGTATATTTTAAAATATATACCAATTGTAGTCCTGACGAGTGCTTTATGTACGACACCAAAAGGGGCCACATTTCTGAACCTCAAAGTCTCTGATAGGAAAGCCATGACATAATGGCATCGATTCCTGTCCTCATGTGTTGGCATTCGGTCTCCGATTTGTGTCTCAATCTCTTGTCTCAACTTTCGCTGCATTTCCGGATAGTATGTCAACAAAATGAGTAACCATTGAAATGTCTGTTGAGAGGTATCGGTTCCGGCAAAGAATATGTCAAATATAGTCATCGCAAGGTTCTCGTCCTTTAGATAAGGAGCCGACTCTTTACCCTCTCTGAGGGACTCATTCTTAGCGGTTATGAGTGCATCACAAAAGTCCCTTTCAATGGATTCCGAGTAGTCTTTATAATGTGAACTAAACTTAGTGCTCATCATATCGACGGCTTCCCTTAATAATAGTCTCTGTTTTTTGACTAATTTGTAGTCTAATAGTCTCAATATGGGTGCGAACTCCCACAACAGAAAATGATTTCCTGCTTCTTTATTAAAGTCTTTGATTATATACTTTATTTGCTTAAACTCCTTATCCTCCATATCATAGCTATAGATGCAATCAAATTGATAATTAAATCTTTTTCAATCAAATCAATTATAAGTTACAATGATTAAAGCAAACCTTTGTCCAAAAGTACTTGTGGCTAATATATTGAGAAACATTAAGTATATGTATTGAATGGGCGAGAAAGGTATGCCCACACCCTCCTTGTCTAATATGGTTTTTATGGTTCTGTCCACACAATCGGTGGCCACGTCTACGAGCCTATCGTTTGTCGAGTATTTTCTATAAATAAATTTTGTAAATCAGGTATAAGTTATAAAAAATATATATTATTATAGATAAATATTATAGACTCTATGAGATGAGACACATACTGAATAGCAGAGTGTGCGACCCGTCTCAGTGCTTCCCATTTATGTCCATAATCGGCCATTATGATGTCACTATATTTGTCATTTGATAATTGAGATCCTATTTGACAAACAAATTTTATGTTCAGTATACTTAGTAAATATTTGTATAACAATTGCTATTATTTACCGAAATAGGAGACAGGTCTACCGGCGATGTCATTCTTTCTGAAGGCTTCTCGAGCTAAGTCTATGTCCGTAACGATGAGTTGAGGGGTATTCCCGAACCAGATGGTGAATACCGGGCCGTACTGTTTGGCCACATTGCGGAACACGTCGTCCCAATGGAGTGCAGATTTGAACACTGTTTGCATTATTTATTAAAAT